CATAGGAAGATAAGTATCTCTCTGTAACAGTAAGTTTTAAATAGTCTCCAAAGATTCAAAGAGATCTAGCCAGTTACTGACTAAGAACTTGGCGCATTGGGGCTGCATTCAGCAGTCATTCTCATTTTAAAAGGCAGTAATAAGAAAACAGCAACAATAACAATCAAAATGTACTCTGTGAAACAGTAAGTATCATTACTTACTAATCAGTTTTGACTAATTATAAATGTAAATGGAATTCAGAGAAGATAGGTCAAATGAACAGAATGAGGTTGGATTTGAAATTTTCTTGAGAAATGATCAGTGGTGATATTCCCAAGTACATAAATATGCTTATGAAAGAAGAAGATAACAGGACATGATTACACATGTACATTTCAATTAAGAGGCAAGTATTAAGAGGCAGCATCTCAGGAAAGGTAAAAACAAGCAAAGGCATAGAAAAGATTGCACTACATGGCTATTTCAGGAATGAAAAAGATAATTCTGAATTGAATGTTGAGGAGAATATACTAGGATATATCTGAATGGATAAAATAGGGAATGACATTGAAATGCTTTCAACTTGGATAATAAGGTATAGTCATTGAGTCTAATAGAGAAGAGGAGGTAACAACATGGAAGTACAATTCTATTTCCTCATTTGAAGAGGAAGTGTCACTGGTGGATGTAGTAGATTAGTATTGAAATCTATTGAGGCTATTTAAAACCTATAGCACTCATGAGTAGATGCCCAAAATATCTGGAAAGTAAATGGCTACAAATGTTGAGATTAAATGTCAACATGTCAGATGATTCAAATACATAAATACCATGACTTTATGGCAAAGTTGAATGAACAAATTGTAAGCAAAACTGTCTCTCCAAATACAAATATGTACCATAAACACAGGTACACACTCACACACATGCCATATGTATGTGTATGTATTTGTATATATATATGAAAAAATGACATAAATTTCTCTTTCAGAACTCTATTTAATTTTGACTCTGACTTAGTCCACAGGGGTTGAGAGCTACTTTCTCAATGTAAGTTTTGTTCTTTTCAATATCAGGAATTCAATAAAACCTATTTTGAAATTTGCTCATGATGGTTCTCATATATGTAATTCAACAGACTCCATCACTGAAATGTTACCAGGAATGTCACTAAATCTGAGTCATATGTATAGAGAATCTGGAAAAGGGTTGAACTGTTTTTTAAAGTGCTTCCATTGGTTGTCCCATTATAAACCAGGTGATAATCCTATTGATGCGCCATGCTGCTCTTAACAGTTAAAGGCAAAAAAAGGAATGACATGAAGAAGATGGCCCAGAGCCAACCTGCAGATGAATAGGTTCTATATGACCTTATCTTGGGCATGTAGTTTTCCATCTATATATTGTGTGGGTTGAACTAATAAACCCAAGGTATGTTGTTATTGTTGTTGTTGTTTTAATTCAAAATGATATACTGTTAATGTCTCTGATTCCAAGTGATCAGAACCTTCATTTCATAAATAAAATGAAAAAAAAATAAAACTAGAAAAGATATTTAAAAAGTTTCCAAGAAGTTTGAGACTCCTTTTTCTAGTGTGACTTGATCAAAAGGACAAGGTCTCATTGAAGAATTTTGTTCCAAAAACTTAAATAAAAATGTGTGCAGCTTTCCTTGCATGCTGAATACACATCCCTTGGTCACATTTATTCACTTATCTCCTCAGGGGGTGCATGTTGTTGTCCTTGCTGAATAGGTGATAGGGAGATTTATGTTTAAACTCAGCTTACTGATGGACTCAGGGGACTGTGTACTTTTCTTCAAAGCATTTTCCTTTGACATGGAGCCAGGAAGGGCAACAGGCAACATAATCTTTTGGAATTTATCATGACCATCACTAATGTTGCTATAATCCTGGTACGGTTGACAGCTTAGTTGCAGAATGGCCTAGAACATAAATGCTTGTATCTGGAGAAAAGGGAATAGACAAAATGACATAAAAAAAGGTGAACACACGAGTCGTTCACTGGCCATCTGGGTCTGAATGAGAAGGCCTACCCAGAGGTTTCTGAACAAGTGAATGCTGTTACCAGCAAACCATTTATCTACTCTGTCTGTTTAGAATATACAAAGCATAGAGGAAAAACTGCAATTCATAATACTAAAATACAGGATGGAAAGAAAGGTGTCCACACATTGGTTGCTGGTTGTGTATATGATAGGACTGAGGGAAAGACATAAAGGCAAAGTGTCTTAGTTTGCTTTCTGTTGCTGTGATAAAGACTATAGCCAAAAATCACTTGGGGAGGAAAGCATTTATTTCAGTTCACAGCTTATATTATAAGAAGACAAAGCAGAGACCAGGAAGTAGAGACTAAGGCAATGGTTATGGTGAAATGCTATATATTGGCTATCGCTAGAACATTTTTTAGCCTGATTTTTTTTATATAATTGAAGATTACTTGCTCAGGAGTAGAAACACTCACAGTGTGCTGAGCCATCTCACAAAAACCATTAATCAAGAACATGCCCCATGGACTTTCCTACATGCCAATTTGATGGAGGTAATTCCTCAACTGAGGTTCTCTCTTCCCAGATAATCCTAGGATCAAGTTGAAAGAATTATAATAGGAACCAGGCCAAAAGGTTTAGGTTAATATTACAAATTTAATTCTTTCATAAATATTTAACAAATTTTTATCTGTTTTATAATACTCTTCTTGATATGATATAACAAATCATGCAGAATTTGAATTAGAGACCAGCACAAATATGTGAACACATGACTAGAAATACAATATATTTCCTTAATGGAATTTGAGCTATGAGAACATGCATGAATGGGTCCTGAGTTAGTCTGGAGGATGGACACTATTGTAGGCACGAGGGATAAGATGTCTGAATATACTAAGAAGGAAGTAGCTGGAAACATTCTATTCTAGTTCTAATGCCAATCTGTGAAATGAGGTCAATGTGATCAGCAATATATGGCATAACCTGGAACTGGAGAAGTGAGTGTTAATAAATTCAGGCAGGATATTATAGGCTATTCTGAAGAATTTGACAGTGGGTGACAGGGAAACCACTGTGAAATTTATTAGCTGAGTGCCATTGGTGGGTTTCATGAAAGAGTAAAGTGAACAGTGTAGTTTGTCTTTACCATATGTAAATGCACAGAATTATGAAGGTTTACAAGTGGATAACCAGAGCCTTGTAAGTTCTGTAGACATGAGCTTGTTACTCTGCTAACTAGTGTGGGCAGCTAGAGGAAAAGAGAAAGTTCTTATTTAGAACTTTTATACACAAGGGACTGTGAAAAAAGCTTAGGAATTCGCTTTTCATTTTAGCATTTCTATGGAATGATGATAATCTGACTAACAAATGTCAAAAATATATACTTTAGGCAAAAGTTCCCGTATATTTATCTATTCACCCAGCTATGCATCCATTCATGACTTTATGCATCCATCTCCACCACAATTCAGCCATTAGCTTATCTATTCACCCACCAACCGTTTTGTGAACAACTACAATGAAGGTTTCCTATAAAATATTGGGATTCTGTTGGTGACCAAGATGTAGTCTATGCCCTGAGAGAATTCATGGTTCAGTAAAACTACAAATTGTTCAGCCCAGATTACAGTTCTGTGGAGAAAGTTCTGTGATGTGCATACACCTGTAGTGTTTGGAAAAGCAAGGAGAAAACACAGACTCCCAAGATTTCTCTAGGTCAGAAATCTTGTATAAGATTCCTCCAGAGTATTCTCCTGAGTAGATATAACTTTGAAACTCACATGATTTTCATGTTAACATGTTATGCAAATAGTTATGTTGAAATTTTAGTAAACTCTGTGAAAGCATGTGACCCCTAATGACTGAATCTTACTGAACTTTGCATGGAAAACAGGGCAAATAACTGCAACCAAGTCTGCTAGACATCAGCCATCCTCACCTAAAGCACAGCCCAGGCTGAAGACAGACTGATGTGAAAGCATTGTGTTCTTGGGCCTTTGTAAGCCCTGCCCAAGACACTGCTGCATTTAATGAGCTCTGCTGTGGCAGAGGGGCACTTGGCACTTCAGTTGATAGAAATGGCCCCTCAGGCCACACTAAAAATGAAGTGCACAGGCTGCCAGCACTTTGGAGCATGAGAGAAAGAAATCTGGACTGAGTGAGGAAGAGCTATTAATTACAATCTCAGCTCAGGCTTAAGACTGGTGAGAAGTGCATCTCCAAAAATCACTTATCTCAGAGAAGGAAAGAATGCTATCACATTCTGTTCCAGCTCAGGAACCGGCAGGGATGTATGAATATATATGGGAGCATGCACATGGGCACGTGCACAAACACACACATTCATACACAAACACAACAAACACACACACACAACACATACAAATACCATTTGCATATAATACAAAAGCATGGGTTCATGCACTAATAGCTAACTATGCCATGTAGTATTTGCTTTCAGTGTCTTTTTTTTCATTCATCCATACAATGCCTTTCTTTATTGTATCAATATACAGAGTCTCTTCCACTTCATCCTCCTCTTGTTTTCTCCAGACTCTGCTGACTTTTAACAAGTCTAGGCAAAAGGGCAAGTTACTTATAAAAGATACTATTTTGCATTGACATATTTTTCCCCGACTGTGATCCCAGGAAAGGAGCCAGTATTCCTGACTTACCCTTTGAAGGAAATCATTATATATCATTCATCATGGAAAATCACAAGAATGAGGAAAGTACTATGGTTTTTGCTGTTGTTGTTGTTTGATTTTAATTAAGAGAGGTGAAAAGAGTTTCACGAGACTACAGGAGTATGTGGTCTCCTGCATCCACATCAGCTGAGGCTAGACTAGGCAGTAGACCCTGTCCTGGTGACCAAAAAGAACTTTGAGCCTGGGAACAAGAAGGAGCTTCCTATATCCATTCAGTCAAAAAAAAAAAAAAAGATTATCCAAGGGAGTCCCAAGCTATGTGGAATTTTTATGTCATACAAAACACAAAGGAAGACCAGGTGCTTGATTCAGCAGCACATATACTAAAATTGGAACAATACTGAGAAGAATTGCATGAACTCTGTATAACGATGACACAGAAATTCATGAAGCATTCCATATTTTAAAGCAGTATATAGCAAGCCAATAGCTAACATCAAACTAAATGGAGAAAACTTGAAGCAACCCACTAAAATCTGGGACAAGACAAGGCTGTCCTGCTTCTCCCTAGCTATTCAATATAGTTCTGAATGTTCAAGCTAGATCAACAAGAAAAGAAAAGGAGATGCAGGGAATAGAAATCAAAAAGGAAGAAGTCAAGGTATCACTATCCAAGATTGATATGATAATATAAATGAAAGATCCACAAAATGCTACCAAAGAATACCTATAGCTGATAAACAACTTTAGCAAAGTGGTTAATACAAAATTAACTCAAATAAACCAGTAGCCCTTATTTATACAAATGGTAAATGGACTGAGAACAAAATAAGGGGAAAAAACCCTTTACAATAGCCATTAATAATATAAAATAGGAAAGATCTTCCATGCTCATGGATAGGTAGGTTTAACATAGTGAACATGGCTCTCTTACCAAAAGCAATCTAGAGATTCAATGCAATCTCCATGAAAATTTCAACACAATGTTTTAAAAACATTGAAAGAGAAATTCTCACCTTCATATGGAAAACCAAAAAGCCCAGGATAGCCAACACAATCCTGAACAATAAAAGAACCCCTAGAAGAATCACCATCCCTGACATCAAGCTATACTACAGAGCAAAAGTGATAATAATAATAATAATAATAATAATAATAATAATAAACAAAAAAACCCATGGTATTGAAACAGAAATGGAAGGTTGATCAAGGGGACAGAATCAAAGACCCAGAAATAAAGCCACACACCTATGGATACTTGATTTTTGACAAACAAGCCCAAACCATATAATGGAAAAAAGAAAGCATCTTCAAGAAATGGTGTTGGTCTGGCTAAACATCTGCATGTAAAAGAATGCAAATTGATCAGCATTTATCACCTTGCACAAAACTCAAGTGCAAGTGGATCAAATATATTAACATAAAACCAGATATACTGAACCTAAAAATAAGAGATAAAGAGAGAGAGAGAGAGAGAGAGAGAGAGAGAGAGAGAGAGAGGGAGGGAGAGAGGGGGGG